AAATGGCGACATTTTATGACGTTACGGCGCACCGGAGATCAGTTCAGTTTTATTCGATGTTGTAATGACACCTTTAGAGACTTGAAATGACCATAGAAGAAAAAAAGATTATAAAAATATCACCATATCATAAGTATGCAAATGAAATAGGAGTTTTCTTAGCGAAGTCTTTTTGATCGAGTCCCTGGGGAGTACGAAACATACGGACAAACTCCTAATTTAATAGCAAAAGACGCTGTCACAGTAGACCACCGAAATGAGATTTTCTATTAGTTGAATGGTGGTGAGAATATTGTCCGTAACTTACTAATAAATCTCCAGAAGATCGCATGAGGGTGCCAATTGGTTCTTCGACTGTTTATGAAGACTAAAGAATGTGTTTCAATGAAATTCCTAAATTTAAGTCGGACTCATCCAACTTCATTTTCAGCAAAGATAAAACGTGACGCTGTTTTAGACACTTTGACGTTATAATCCATGCGCCGTAAGGTGATACAATACATGGCATAAAATCTCATAATTTGTTTATTTATGCATATATTTATCTGAAATTTGCTGTGTATATTACTAAAATATGTACTAAATAATAGTGAAAATTTCAGACTTTTTCACACTAGACAACTTGTCCACGATTTTACGGGACAACCCTCGTATATATTATATTTTTTGTACCTCTGACCAGTTTGTTTAAAATGTATATATGTTTTACTGTACCCCATGTACCAATATTTTGGTTTGGGAGAATAAACTGAACTTGAACTTGAACTTGTTTCATAGACGATAAATGACCTTGCCCTGCAATTAAAATCGACCATTAAGACTAATGCTGACTTTTTTTCATACTTATTGTTAGGCCATTATTAACATACTATATGTTTGATTGATTTTATTTTTTTTCCCGATTACGACGAGGAAAACTCGGCATGGAATGCTTAATCCTCCAATGCAACTGATCCCACCTCTGGTGTTTTAGACGTCCATGTCTGCTTTGCTTCTAATATGTATTGTATGAATAGACTTTTGAGCTTAAATTATGTTCGTTATCTACAGGTATCTCTTTCATACCGATTGGTTGACCTTTTTTTCATTTTTAGTAAATTTTACAACAGAAAGTAATATCTACTCGATCAATACATATGGATCATGGCGTGTGACCTGTCTACAGGGGATGCTTAGTCCTCCTAGGCACCTGATCCCACATCTGATATATCTAGAGGTCAGTGTTTATGCCTTCTTCTCATCTTTGTATTGTTTATAGATTTTTTAGATCGATTACTTTTTGTAATCTTTACCTTTTTCAAATACACTTTCAAGTTATCTTAGACGACCATATACTAGTATGTAAAACATGCCCTGCCTAAGACATGTAAGACGATCACAATAAATCAAATGACTTTATCTCAAGGATTATAAGATTCTTCCGTTCTTAAAAACAAACCTTATTTCTCCTTTATTTAAGCCTAACCTATCGAACTGTTTATTCGTTTGTTATACGATAGGCTTACCTTTCAGATAAAGTAAATATTTTGAGGGTTGTATTGTATACTGATTTATGTGATAGTAGGTGACCTAATTGCTTAAAAAACGCAAACTTGCAAAAAAACACCGCGATTACGTGTTTTTCAGTTATCCGAAGTCTCGAAATCGCAAGCATGTTTTATATCAAAATACTTAAATTAGATTGAAAGAATTCCCGAAAATAAAAGCGTCTTTGAGATTGTAAAGTAAAAATGAACACTATCTAACAGTGCCTCACTTAATGCATAAACAAACACATTGACCGCACTTCTCCATGGCACTAGCAATGAACCCATCGCCCTGTCCAGGAGAATATGATGTATTCAACACATATTCTTTGAGCTCTGATAAAACGATGAGGCAATAAACTTAACAATGTGGAACCAAGCCATCATTTTGTCTATTCGGAAATTCACACCGAAAGAGCGTTTATATTCAATGAAATGTTGACAATTTAAACTATTTGCTTAAATCTAAGACCGCGTGCACTGCCATAGGTGAAGGTGATTCTGTTATCGCTGACTCGAGGATTATGGTGGGCAGGTTTACTCAGGGGTGCATTTCATTGACATTTTGGATTTCTGGCCATGTGATGTAATTTTATGTTTTTCTTCTATAGTATTTAATTAGTCACGTGAACAACGTCATACAGTTTAACATAATGTGGATTTTTAAGTGTGTAGGCTGCGACCGATCCTTCGATTAATTTTTTTTCACCACAAAACACGTGTTTCATAGGAATTTGCCTTCCAACTTGCAAGGTACGTGAAACTTTATTTAAGATAATCTCATTTTTAATCCACTTTTAGCAAGAGCAATTGCAAAACAATGTGACCTTAAAACCAGAGCAAAGATTACGCATGTTTTATGTTAGGGTTGTCATAAATCATTGAATGTAAACACTTGTCACACAATGTTTTTAACAAGGTCAATGTCTCTCAATATTTTACCCTGGAATACTTCAATAACCCTATGAGCTTACTCGGTGTTTGACTTTTAAAGCTCTATTAAAATATTTCAATGAACTTAAAGGATCAAAATACGATGTATATCTAAATCACTCTTACTGATGTAAAGTACATTATACAAAGACTATCGTGTTATATTTACATCCGGTACTGTAATATGTGTCAATAATATGTATAAAATATGGTGCATAATGTCCCTTAACCTTTGATCATACCTGAACATAACATACCTGAACATAACATGTATCAGGTGTGTTCAGAAATGTTCAGGATGAGGATCCGTATTTACGTGTTGTATTAAATTGCTTTATTTTATAATAATGCATGGGATTACTATCAATGATTTTTTATGACAAATGAAATGTACATACACACAGAAAAGTCAATATAAAACCAACTAACAATCAATAGTGTAATGGAACAGCAATTCATTTCTTTTCACTTGAAACCCCCCAAATAATACTGAATATTTGATATCCCATTGTTGTATTGTGTATTAAATGGCAATCAACAATACATACAAAAATAATAATCATGAACGGCAGATGATGGGAAGTGGATTCTGAGCATAGAAAAAACAATGCCCCATAACGATTTCTGCAATACTATTGATTTTTTTTCTTTAATCACAAATATAAACTTTTTCGGTTTCATAAAATATATCATAAACTACAGAGATTTATTTAGACTGCATGGACTACCTGATGCTATGTAGAATTATTTTACAATACACGTATAACCGTATGTCACATATATTTTCTTAGCCTCCCCGTTTTGAGATTGTTAGGCTTGATTAAGAGATCAACCTGAGGAGATTCAGAGATTATTTTAGGCTACAAAGAATATATAATGCTAAATAGACTTCATCAGATACACAAATATCTTCGACCTTTTAGATTTTTTTCAGGCATTTGATATTTTGGTCACAGGAAGATTTTTAGGGAACAGTGTTTCTAGCTACAAATATTATCAACACTAATAGACGTTAAAACTTTTTTATCATTTATATGTATGAAATATATGGAAATAACGAACAGTATTCAAGATCAGAAGTCTATAAAACAGTACACAAATAGGAGCAGAGCAAACATGGACCTCCAAAACATCAGAGGTGGGATCAGGTGCCATGGAGGAGTGAGTATCCGGTGCCAAACGGTCACATATGAATAACTTTTACGCTATTGATGACGACAGGTACATCAAAACGTGTTAGTTTAAACCATATTTTATTTGAACATGACAAGCAAGAAATGCAGGCAGGAAGTACAAAGATCAAAAAGGATTCGGAAACAAGTTTCAAAAACTTATACTAATCTGTTTCCTTATTATTAAAATGTGTTGATGACAATCTCAGTCATAACCTGTTGGAAACGATACTATATCTTAATTTGAATGACAGTGTCAAATATGGGCAGAGAAATTTTGACATTTTTTCTTTTATTAACAGGTTCCCGTTCATACAATAAGATTCGGAAATGCACTCGATGTGAAGAATATAAATATTGACTCTATTTCGGAGCATTACACCGTATCCGAATTTAAAAGGTAGGTTCAAGCTCAAACAAATTTAAAGCACTTGGTTCCGTTAAAAAATAATTGGAGTTTCCTCTATAAAAATACTCTGGTTAAAAATAGCATATTCAGCTCTTTAGAATGATTTGAAGTTCTACACAGACTGTTGAGCTTTTCAGAGTAATACATTACAGATATATGAACTTATTTGCAAATCAAAAACCATTCATCTATATTTTTTCCTGGCTACGTGTTACTCCGTGCTTCATCAATGTCAAGTTTATAAACATAGTTTTCATATAATTTATTTATTTGCTTTGAGCTTCAAAAGTATAGTATATATAAGATCTTGGAATCCTGGACGAGATTAATATTCTCAATACTGAAACACTAATAAGCTTCATTACCCTGCACTCAGCATATTGAAAATTACCACATTTGACCGAATTCTTTCTCGAAAATTGTGTAATCAAAGGAAATTTCTCTTCAAATAACCCATGCCCCGTTTATAAGATGTACGCAATGTATAAATGAAATAGAAGAAAACAAATTACCACAATCAGCATCATAGACATCTGGTATTTTGGTGTCAAGACGAAGGTTTGAAATAACCTTAGATTGGGAGTGTTTTGCAATGCATGTTGAGTATTTCTAAATTGTTATTTTGACCTTAAATCAGAACATTGGTCAGATGTCTCGATTTAGTTGACGGGTATTAATCTTTGATGTATCCATCAAACAATAACTAACTTCATCATAATATTGATTCTGACAAATATTCAGACTGGACAGTCAATATTCACACAGCCAATTTCGATAAAATTTAGCCATTATGTTATCTGCAGAACGAGAAGTCCACACAACAAAAGCAAACACAAAAAACAAATAGAATACAGTCAGAAAATCCCACATTTTTCTGTTGCCATAACGAAGTAACAAAAATTAAAGAAGAAAATGCAGAATTTGCTGGTAAACTTTATGTATTCGATTATATTTATAAATGAGAAAGTTCTACAATTCCGTGTAGGATACGTTTATTAATTAAATATAAGTACAAAAATACAGAAGATGGGGACCTTCGAGAAATAAAACGAGAAATGGGCACGGCAGCGAAAAAAAATCAATTAAACGCTGAACATATTTAACCTTTAAAAAGCTCCACCGTGCACAGTTTGTAATTAGAGAGAAACAAACGAATGAACTAATCTATCAGTGTACAGCAGGGAAATAATGTTTTGGGATAAAGGAAAAACGCAATGGGTTGAACAGTGCTTTCCTGCATTTCAAAGGTAATCTAAACTGATTTTATTAAAAATCTATTTAAAGCAAATGATATAAATGCATGTATAGTTAATCAAAAATTAAGTTTATTGTTCTTTTTTAATGGAGTATATTAACAAACATGATACATATGTAAAATCTACACGATATGATAGTGAACTTAAAGCTCTTTTTAACGACATTTAAAGAGTATATATGATGAAACGCGTGAATACATTCTGATACGAGAACCCAGAATGTCCGTAACTAAAGGGTTTATCTGAGATTGGGAAAATCGAGATTGACGTACAATGGATGTTGACTCGATCTAAAAGCGTTGTGGATTCCATTCAATATTTTGAAAAAAAAGACATTTTATCAATTACCAATATGCTTATTTTACTCCTATATAGATTCGACATATCTAATTGATAAATACATATTAAAGACATCACAGAGTGTGAAACATCTGTCACATTTGGGTAATTCTGAAGAGAAAGACGTCAATGTCATTCTAAGAACACTTTAAATGAACGTTATGACCTCAACTTTTCTAGCATCAACTTCTTTTTTACATATGTATGTAGCAATGTACCACTTTCACCTGCAATATCAAACACTATTGACGAATCAATTTTTTAAACAGGGAAAACTATTGACAAATAAGACGATGTAACAGTAATATCAACTAAAATCAAAATTTCGAAAATATTACGGTCAATACAAAGCCCTTATCAGCAAGTACAATTAAAGCTCTTGATTAATTGATTGACTGATCGCATGTTGTATAATGTCCCTACTGAGTAGTTTTCACTCATATAGAGACGCCATCATCTGCCGGTGAAGAGCTGCAAAATTTGTCCTTTCTCTCGGCACTTACGGCCATTGAGCAGTGAGGGGTCTTTTTCGTACCAGCACCTACTGCGACACGGGACCTCGGTTTAAACGGTCTCATCCCCCCTCAACTAACAATACTCCTTTTGTGATCTGTCGTTTTAATATTTTCTAAAATGGACGTGATGTAATTAACTATAACTTCAAGTCCATGAATATAATACGAACATAAAAAAGACATGTGTATGATTACGAGTTGTAACGGTTATAATTGTCGTGTTCGCTGAAATATCGAATATGTCAAGTGTAATCCCTTTATTTTATGAAGTGTGATTATTCACAGGATAAAATTTTGTTATGATTTCCATTCATCATGGTAGTTTGATGTGATCGGAATTAACTGTAATAGACATACGGTTTTTCCGACCACTCATCCCTGCTGGTGAAACGAAATTGTTAGTTGGGTGACTGTCCTATCAAATACATAGTGCAGCCAATCACCCAGTCTTTTGGTATGTATAATCACGGAACGGGTGACACTTTGTAAGAAATAATGGAGGCGAGCCGTGATGTCACAGAACATTCACTTGATCAATTATGGATACTGCTGATGTACTGAAATTAAAAACTTTCTCTCCAGGAAAACAAACTTTCTATGGATTATTACTTATATATCTTCAGTTTTATGAAGCTTGTGTCACTATAATTATGGTTTTATGAGGCAGGACTTCCGTTTCATGGTGTAATTAGAGAGATAATGTTAAACATTGATAGGTACAACCATTACGAACCAATAGAAAACAGGAGTCGACATTGACCAGGAAACAATAAAGGAATGATAAAGATTTTGTCATTCATTATTAATAAACAAAAGCTGTATGTGGTAAAAATTTCTCCATGTGAGGTTCTAAAGAATAAAAGTACACTGGTAACTCCTACGAAGGTTTTATACAAATGCAAAAGAATACAGTTGAATCATCTCGTAATTATATTCAAAAGATTATGGATCACTACATGTATTACTTGTACATTGCCTATTCCAATATTTTATATTTTAGAATAGGGAATAAGGAGCAAAAACGCAGGATTGAAAAACATTCTTTTCTTTGAAGAGCAGTTCTTTAATTCAGTATAATGAGAAGTTTTCTGTCTTTTATAGATCTGTGAGAGTCAATGGATTTGGTAACTTTGTACGATGAGCTCGGAATTGACGATTCCTCGCTGGACAACATGATGAATGGAGAAGCCAACTACAAGAGTCGTGAAGAACAAAATTACGATGCTGCGTATCAGCGAATGCCTACAGTGATCTTCCTAGGAATTCTTATTTTTGTGGGAGTAATTGGAAATATAATCGTCCTTGTTGTATACATCCGGAAATATCCCTCCACGACGTTTAAATTCTACATTTTAGCCTTAGCCGTCATTGACCTTTTAACATGCAGTATCAGCATGCCATTTGAAATCGCGGACAACGTTCTTCCTTTTTTATTTTTCAATGAAACGTTATGTCAAGTGGGGCGTTTTCTAGGAAATGTGTTCAAAATTGCTTCGGCTTTTGTGATTGTCGTCATGGCAATAGGGAGATACAAGAAGATATGTCATCCATTCAGCAAGAGTACAACCATATCTCAAGCTAGGCTAGCATGCGTTGCCTCTGTAGTTCTAGCAATTGTGTTTTCATGGCCGACTATATTAATCCAAGGCATAAGGGAACGCAATCTTAAATTCAACATCACAGGTTTTGACTGTACGATAAACTCGGACATGGCACATACGAATTATCCATTTATATTTTCTACCGTGTTGTTTTCATTGTACGCTATTGTGTTTTTAGCATTAGTGGTCCTGTATAGTTTAGTTATTTACTCCCTCAATCAGCACGCTAAAGAACAAGAACAGTTTGCCTTCAATGACAACGTTAGGAAATCCAATCCAAGAATCACAAAAATGATGATAGCAATAACAGTTGCTTTTATTTTGTGTTATATACCTAACTGTATTCTTGACGCCATCTCTACATTCAAACACGGATACGTAGCGCCCCCTAGTCCCATTGTCCTGGCAACATTTCCTTTGATTGCAAGGACATTCTTCATCAACAATGTCATAAATCCGTTCATCTACTTATTCGGAGACCCAAAATTCAGAAATATCATAAGACAGACTATACGATGGCTGTTTTACACAATTTGCAAGCCAGGGAAAAAGAAGTTGAAAGATTTTACAGTGGCTGAGACGATGCATCTAACAGACGTGAAACACATATCACATTCTTAATTAAAAAAACAATACCTATAATACGTTACAAATTATTAATTTCCTAATAAATTAGGTGTAAGACAAATGTGTGCTGAATTTTACTGAACAGATAACTTACATGTAGAGCTTGACATGTGAAACTTTCCAGGAGCTATAACAAATAATATCAAATTCAAAAACATTTTCTTCATAAAGATTTGATACCTCAGTTAATAATTCCATTCTTAAAATAGTGAATAGAATCGAATCAAATTGTGGGAAAAAAACATAAATCGTGTAAAGATATATATTTACAGTTTTTCGATATAATCAATTTTCTCAATAAAGTGATGTATAAATTACTAAAAGTATTTTTAATGAACGACATTTTTCAGAAGAACTTTTAGATTAAATTAGAGTTATTCATTTTCAATTGAATTCATCTCCTTAAAATTTACATGAATCTCATTAACTATTTTTATTGTTAAAAAAGTAAATAAAAATTTATGGGATGCCCTACCTCAGGGGCATTCAGTTGATGTAAAAAAGGCCAATAATATATACTATATTAGTATAAGGTCCTAGGTAAAACCAAAAAAAGCAATGAAGGCAGGCAAAGAAATATATATATTTTATATACTTGAAATCCATTATTACATAGCAATAAGGTAAAAGTATTAGTATAGAACACAGATATTGATTCAATCATTTTCCTGTTAACAATTGATTATTTATATCTATGGTTAGAAAAATGACACGTATCCCATAGTTAGATATTGTTTTTGATATTTTTTTTTATTATACACGTACTTTTTGTTACTTGTTCAGATTATAAAGGTACTAAATGTGAAATTTTTTTTTTGACAACTTATGTTCGTTCTGTGTTTATACAATGTGTTGCCTACGTGTGATATAATAAAAGTATTTGTTAAAATTAAATTATGGTTTTAATCGCATGGACAACAGAATATTAATACAGTATCAAATTCTTTTACCTTGTCATATACAACAACCAATTTGCATGTAGGAGGACAGTTTATCAATAATCGTTAATGTAAATCGTAGAAAACTGAAATTTCGCATCAAGTTAACATTGACATTTATTGAGATGACTATAATTAAGAACTGATTTAGAATAGAATTTAAAAAAGGAATACCAAAGCCCACAATATTATAGCATCATATATCACTGATCACAAACATAAATAATATTGATCCCTGAGAATAGAATGGAACCAGTCCAACACCATGGCGCCAATCTGAGAGGGAAAATTAATTTCAATAAACTTCACTCATTTTGCTCTACTTCACTACTTGTTCGAGGAGTTTACGTAACTTAATGATTCCAACCAAAGGAGTAATATTTATTTAGATAAGTTAAGTGGTTACGACATCAATTTTGACATATGTTAGGGCGGACGAGTTCAGAAGCTTTGATTGTATACCATTAATGACACTTGAATTGACTTAATGCAGTCTTCATTGTTATATAGTTTTTAACAAACCCCTTTTAAACCTGTCACACAAATTTCATTGAAGGTTATTCATGCAATCTTAAACATAATGGATCACAGACTAGTAGAGTACTTTCAAAGTTAATTAAATAGTAGATGTAGCAGTATATATACAAGCATTAACAAGTGTTCTTTTGAACAATTAAATAAATGGAGATAACGAACAGTGTTCAAGCTCGAAAGCTCATTCAAACAATACAAATCAGGAACAGAACAAACATGGACCTCTAAAACGTCACAGTTGGGATTAGGTGCTATGGAGGAGTGAGCATCCCCTGCCTACCGATCACACTCGCAGTGTGATCCTTGTAATGGCCGAGAAAAAACAGGAAAATCCATCGAAAAGCACTGAAAATTCTAAATTTCAAAACATAATTAAATTAGAACAAAAGTATTCTGTTAAAAATTGAAAATATAAAATGTTTCCGGTAAAAGTGAATTTATAAGTACACTGGACGCTACAATATGTACATGTATAACCATCAACGTGATTCTTCGCCGCTTCTTGGCATCAAGTCGATATGACCGAAGACTGGGAGATAACGATGGAAGAAGAATACTTTGATGTAGATGAATATCATCAGTTCGCCACAAAAATACACAGGCTGCTACACAAAAATACAACGGAGAAGGAGATGGATAACCGTGTTGTAAATTACTCTAGAAATACAATGCTAAAAAAACCTGCGGAATTAACAATAAAGTTAATGGACCATGCATAAAGTCACGGAAATTGGGAGAAAAAATGGAATTTTTGTCTGCTATACACATCTTTTCTTATTTACAAAAGAATGCTCATTATAAACTATATACAAGATCTTGAAATAAGTGATGTTAATCCTATAATGCTAACATGATATAACGTGTATTTATGAATGTGAAAAGAAATGTATCTTTTATATATTGTCGTTTCTTTAAAAAATCTAAGATGCAAAATATACTTGCTATGTCAAACATCGTTTATACAGTGGTCAAAGACACAGTTAAGTTTTTCGTGGTTTATATTTTGTTCGCAAGGATACACTCCAAATACATAAAAATAAATCTTATTTCCTCTTTAGAATCACAAAATTCAACATTAAAAATTTGTTCCACTAGACAGATTAACATGCCTTTCAAGGAAGTTTTTATATTCTGTAGCTTTCCCCATCTAAATTTAACAGAACGAGATGACATAATAAGGAAGAAAATATAACAAAACCCGTATATCGCAAGTATCTTTTGCATGTACCAATAAATGATACGATGAAACAAAAATTTTGAAATTAAACTTCATTGTTTCAAAAAATACAGAATAATTTAAGAAAGCAACTAAACAAACTTAGCAACTGTTATCAAAAAAAAAAAAAAAATAAAAAAAAAAATAAAAATACGTCTGAAAACGGCGTGTTTATACTAATAAGGTCTCTTTCTGTTTTTTTTTTCTGTTCTGTTTACTTCAGCATAAGTATTTCTTACCTCCCCAGCCTCAATGAGAGTTAAAAAAAAACCTCTCAACCCTGGAGAAATCAGAAGGAAATTACGTTTCTACCTAAATTACCGATCACCTTATTCTTTAAACATAAATAACACATACAAGCTTTTTTCACAAATCAGCAAAATTTCCCAAAGGGATATGTTCAGATATGTAACCTAAACAATGTTTGTTAGGTAAAGTATGTTAATTTAGACTTTAAAACAATGATATAAAATCCCGTATCATAGAATTACATAGAAAACAACATAAAGGCGCATATATAAAGTACTAAAGAAAACTTGGGATTTCTTCATTTTTTTGGGATTTATTTTCAAGTCATCTCTAATTAAAATCATTAATATATCAATACATGAGTAAATTTTTCATTTGAGATTTAATGTCCAGAAAATTTCACTCAAATTCTGTATCATTGACATACAATATTTATACTGGTTAAAAATAGCAAATTGAATGCTCGATTCCAAATTCATGAACGACGTAAACGTTTCTGTATTTAAGTAAGTCTTTGAAAAACGATTTATCTAAGACTGTGTTAAACTTCACTACTAAAACATGCATGTAGAGAAGCACTCATTAAAACTGATGATACTTTATCATTGGGTGGTTCGATGAAAAGAATGAAAGAAGACCATTAAAACTGTTTTGGTGTAGTCATTTTAAATACTGACCACTGTCCTTGAACATCAATTTGCAGCGAAACATAAAACTCCCATTGATCTCATTAATAAAGTGCCACGCCACAGCATGATACGCCCGTCAAAAAATTACAATTATCTTAAACAATGAAAAGTGCAAGAAAATCGTGTCAACCTTGATTTTAGATTTCCATGATTTTTCCACTCCTTAAAAAATTTGTTTATCCATCTCCTGTGGTGTAGGCATTAATTATAACATATATTGCATCATTCATAGATTTCTATACTGGTTGTGTTAGACCTTGCCAAATGCCTATCATATTAAACAATATCAAATTAGGCTTAACAACTTAATCTATACCTAATTAATTTTGAAAATAAAAGGCTGGCCATCAAATATAAAATGACCAACAGTTCTTCTGTCTAATTCCCAAAGGATACACTGTCAGTTAAGATAATGCTCTGAAGAAATAATTGAGACAGCTATAGCCTTGCTACATTGAACACATTAATTATTCTTTAACTGGATGCTTGTCTACTCATTACTCCCAAGAGATTATTGGATCTGCACTATCTACCATAAAGCATTTTTAAAACATATAAAACCTCAATGATTTTTTTGTTAGATTTAATGGCAGACAGGTTTTAATATGCAATTCATATGGACATGCTGATTCAACCCCACCCCCATAAAATTAGTTTTTTAAAGTTCATAATATTATGTAATATCAAAACAGTTTATTATGCAAAATCAAATTAGTTTTATTTACTTCTCATCAAATTCATTTTGAAACTTATGCTAGCCAACAAGAGCTATTTTTAATCCAACAGGATTGCCCATTTCGCCCAATACTCAATTCAATTCAATTCAATTCTTTATTCGCTCAAAACCAGATCACTGGTACAAGAGGTACATATATACATATATACAAGCAAAAAATTATTACAGTCAAGGGTCAAGAGATAGACAAGTACATTGAATATAAAGAAACTCGAAAAGAGTGAGAAAAAAAAATGACTGTAGTCATCTATATATAAGACAAACGGAGGAATCAAGAAGGACAGACAGTTTTAAAAATTTTCTTTATAAATAGTGATAATGATTTTTGTATCTCTACATTATTACTACTCATTAGTTCATTGAATTTGAAAGTGTTAGGATTATTACAATATCTGTTTGGGAAAAATAATTTTCTGTCTTTTGAAAAGTACTTACATTCCATAATATAATGATATTCATCACCAACAGTTTTAAAATCACAAATGGTACATATTCTTAAATTTCTGTCAATATTATGCCATCTACCCTTTTCAATTGGCAAATGGTGATTACAAGTTCGGAGTTTTGTAAGTGTAACTCTTAAATCTTTTGGTAAATTCATCAGATAATTTTCTAAACCAAAATCTGTTTTAAAAATTCTATAA